ACTGGGTACCAAACAGCAATGTACAATTGCTGGAATAGAGTTGCAGTCAACACAAAATCAGCAATTTTGAAGATACCCGGGAAAGGGAATTAAGGAGGGGAAGAGGCCGGTTAGAGTAAGGGGCATGGAATATCCAATTTCAGATTTCCGGATGAGAGGAGTTAATGTCGCTAATCTGGAATTCTGCTACAGGTGTGCGGGGTTGAGGAATTTTGAGAGGGAATATGAAGTTTTGATATTCAAAATAATTCCAAATATAGTGTGGAGGGGGGCTGCTGCTACGGAAATTAGTGGAGACGTTAATTAAGGATTAATGGCTAGATTGGAGAGAGAAAAACCCAATGAAGTGGGGCCGGCCAAATAGAGAGAGGGAAGAGGGGAATTATGATTAATTAAGTGGGGCCCACACATTATTTAAAGCATTAAAGAAAATCTGAATTAAAATTCAGATTTTATTTGAAAGAGAGGTTTCCAAAATTAAGTTATAGTATTAGGAAAGCTTTTTGAATTTCAAATTTGAATTGAAACTCATTTAAGTAACTTTCCTAATTTATTGGACTTAATTTAGGAAAGCAATTAATGCCTCTTTGAAATTTGAATTTCAAATGCTTTGGCTTGGGGGAAAGATGGGCCGGTGGGTGGAGGGTTGGAGGCCGGCGACTAGATGGCTGGCCGGCGGGTGGTGGAATTATCCGGCTGCTTGGGCGGCCCAAGGAGGCCGGCGGGTGAGCCCTTGTGGGGGTGGGATTTGAGCGGATGGGGAAGCTTCGGTTGGGTAGTGGAAGAAGAAGATGGATGGAGGGAGAATTCGGAAAAAGCTACAAACCTCAAATATCTCCATCCCAAGAACTCACAAAGAGATCTTGGGAATTTCAGAACTCATAAAGAGATCATTCTCCTCTCATGAACTCACTAAGAGATCACACAAGTAGAATAAACTTTTCATTAACAATTCATCATCCCAAAATACAAAACTAGCCTATAAATAGGCTTCATGAAAAGAAATAAAAAGACTAAAATGCCATTCGGGCTACAATACTACATGACCACCTGTAAGGGTATAAAGGAAAAAACAACAATATAAAATAAACTAGTACAGAAAATATATAAATAAATAACTCAAGATCGTAGCCGTTGATCTCCGATGTCCTCATCAATAAAGCTTATGACAGCATCAGAACTCTATCTCATGTGAAGCATTTGAAGTTGAACAACAACAAAGGAACTACGACGCGTCGAAGGATGTGAAGAATCTTGCGTATCGTACAAACCCTACCTTTCGTGAACTAGGCGAAGTCAAGCAGGGAGCAGGGACGAAGCACTTGCGATGCGCGAAAAATGTCTACGGTCGCAACAAGCACGCTTCTGTCGTTACTTTCGATCCAATAGGAAGAATATCGAATTGCCGTGACTTTTGATATGATCGGTAGGGAATGTAGTCGACGAAGGCGAAGAAGATTTTAACGATTCGCCAAAGTAGGCGAAGTCAGAAGAAATGAAATACCGAATGAGTTGAACAAGTTAGGGATTAGCTTTTAATTTTTCTTGTTATTTTTTGAGGCGAAAGCCTCATGGAAATAAGGCGAGCACGCCTTAGGAAAATAGAGGCGTATGCCTTACAAAGCTTGTGAAAGGTGTCCGCCTTGATGCGTTTCAGTCCGCAATTGTGCTAAGGTGTGCCTCAAGTTGTGCAATTTTAAACAGTGCTATCAATAAAGAACTTGTTGAATGCAAATAAATCTTTGTTGTCAAATATAAAAAAGTTGAGAGGTGGACAAATTTAAAGTCCTATTTGGCGCAAAAAGGTTCACTCATTCATATGGTATTAACTATAAAAACTTTTTCTCTTGTTGTCATGCTCAACACTATTCGAGTTTTGCTTTCTCTTGCGGCAAATTTTGTTTGATTTCTACATTAAGTTTATATCATGAATGCTTTTCTTAATGTGAAACTCGAGGACGAAGTATGCTGAAGATCCCACCTAGATTAAGAAATTAGACAAATTTCAATAAGATACACACTCAAAAAAGGTATATGTGACCTCAAATAATTTTTTGGTTCTTAATTTCACAAAATTTTCAAGTAAGTTAAAAAGTGTGGTACATTTATTGTCAAGTTGATCATACTCTTTTTATCCAGCTCTCACTAAAGGTAAAAAAATGTGGTTCTAACCGTGTATATAAAAATAATATTATATTGACCAAGTGATTTGAGGAAGAGTTATTTAAATTAAAAAGATTTTTGATAAGAGAATTTGAGGTAAAATATATTGGAAATTTAGAAGATTTTTTTTTGGTGTGAAAGTGACACGATCAAATTAATACATTATTTTTGTCAAATGAAGTGTATTCTTGATCTACTTCATGAAATATGGATGCTTTGATATAAGATGATAGAAGAAATTATGGATCCCTTCAAAAAATTGGGATATTCACTAATAGTAGGCCCTTTAATAAAGGTAGACATCAACATTTTGTCGCTAAATTTATCTACCTTTTTATTACTCTTCTTGATATTCAATGTTGGTGTTGTAAGCTAAAACATGAAGCAACCTACAAAGACCATATGGAAGCTGTTAACCACGTTTTTAAGGAATCCTAAAATGACACAATAGGAATGTCTGTTATATAAATTTTTTACAGAAGTTGATTAGGCTGGATATGCATCAGACCAAAAAGTCAGCTCTAGCTATTTTAATTATATATCTTGAAATTTGATTAAATGGAGAAATAAGAAACAAGCCATTGTCTCAAGTAGTGTTGAAGCTAATTACATGGGAGTGTGTTGACCTGTATGCTATATCCAATGGAAACAAAAAAAAGAGAGAAATTCAGAATCAAAGCCATTGTCTCAAGTAGTGTTGAAGCTAATTACATGGGAGTGACACTTGGTATTTACAAAGGAATGCGGTTAAAAAAAAATGTTAGAAGAATTAAACTTTCATGTGAAAAAATATTTAAGTGTGTACCGTGACAACTAGGCTATCATAAGTATTGCAAAAGCTCTATTTACCATAGCAAGACTAATCACATTGAGGTAGCGTAATATTTCCTCTTCGAAAAAAAATTAAAATGAACTATTCCAATTAAACTTTGTTCCAGCAAATTCTCAAACTATAAATATCTTCGTCAAAGCACTTATCTTGAATGAGTGTCGAGAATCTAATCAATAAGTTGGACATGATCAACACATACAACCCAATTTGAGAGTGAGTTTTGTGATAGTCCTATGTGCATGGCCATTACTTTTTCATTACTAATAACTCATCAGTCCATGCATACTTTTCGTCTATGCCAATCTGGCAACTCTTGGAGAACAACTTTTGATCTACAATAATTTTATGAACAACAACATTTAATTACCTAGTGTTGCAGAGAGGATGTTCAAGTGGATGAGTGGCTTTACACTTAAAGATAAAATGCAAAAAAAGTATATAAATGAAAGAGTTGGAGTAGCTCCAATGGAAGATAAGATTAAAGAGAGTAGTGTTAGATGATTTGGTCACTTAAAATGTTAACATTCCGATGGCCCTGTTAGGAGATTAAATGTATTAGATTTGTCATATATTAAGAAAGTTAGAGGTAGATCTAAAAAGACTTGGTTAAAACTTTTAGAAATGATTTTTTTAATAAATTTAAATAAGAATTTGACTCTTAATAGGACATGATGGAGAAAAAAGATTCATATAACCGATCTCATATAGTGAGATAAAAGCTTGATATTGTTGTTGATGTTATAACATTTCGGTACCATTATATTGCAAATTCTGAGTTCCATAATTAAAGAATGATTTTAGTTTTATTTCTTCTACTAATATTTTTTTATCTACCTATTTATCTATAACTTCTCAAAATTTTAAACACAAAATAATAGAATATAATTTAGTCATAAAATCTACTATTTCTTTTTCTTTGCTCTCCTCATTCTAATTTTCAAGCGAAGTCCTTTTTTCCTATTTGCATGAGTCAAAAGCCGTTGAAAACCCACATTTGTTTAATTTTTGCTTTACAGGGCATGCCAATTAACTGATTTGTTAATCATATGTAATTTTCAAAAATTCAAAGCTAAATCCCACAATAGGGGTGTTTGATTTGGTCACAGCCTATGTTGCACCGATACACCTATTTATGAAGGCGTGCTGTATCCGATACACCGATACACGGATACGCCTCCGATACTCCGCCGATACGTGTTGGATACGCCTCCGATACTCCACCGATACGTGTCGGATACGCCAAAGACGTATCCAATTAAAATACTATTTAATTTCAAAAGGACACGTATATCCGATACACGTGTCCGTTGAAAAACAAAAAGAAATCCGAAAAAAAAAGATGTGTCATATTTTCTTCCGCGGCTGCGAGCAAAGTTCTCTCATTTTCGAGATGGATTTGAGTCTCTTGATGATATGAGAATATTAGAAATTACTATTTTTTATATATATTAGAAATTACTAATCTTTCACTTGATGAGCCTGAATTAAAAGCTATGATATTTATTGAAGATTATATAGAAGTTCAAAGACAAACCACTGAAGAAGCTAATCATATCATTCCTTCTATTGAATAGTTGAAACTTTATGTGCTAGACAATTTATGTTTATACTTTTATTGTTGTACTAGACATTTAATGCTTACTTATATTTTGATATTATAAGATACAAGGCTACAAATGATGTTGCTGTCATTTTTTTGTAATTTCAAATATTATGCTTTGATTGCTTTCTTAATTTTTATGTATGATTTATAAATTATAATGTCGTGTCCGCGCCGTACCGGTATCCTGTATTTTTAAGAATTGACGTGTCTCGTATCCGTATCGTGTCGTATCCATGTCGCCGTATCCGTATCGGTGCAACATAGGTCACAGCCTTTTAAGTATGCATGCTTCATCAAATCAGTGATGTCCTCTGAAACTTGCTATGAAAATTGTGTGCATATTTTCTTGGTATACTATTTTATTAAGAATGATTAGTCATATTGTGAGACATTTCCATCCAGGAAACGTGCTTCCAGTTGACCTGCTCCAAGCATTGTTGAGAATGGCACCGACCACAGATGAAGAGCGGAAACTTAGGCTGTTTAATGATAACACAGCCTTACTTGGGCCCGCAGAACAATTCTTGAAGACTGTAGTAAATATTCCTTTTGCTTTCAAAAGGATGGATGCATTGCTATTAATGACTACTCTACCAGAGGAATCCACATTTGTGAAGGAATCATTATCAACTATTGAGGCAAGTCTTTCTCCTGGTCTAACTTAGACTTGGTTTGGGATCGCTTTCTTTCTGCTTCTTAAAGAGGAAGCTTCTTTAAAAAGTAATAAGAAAGCCGACTCAAACGAAGCCTTAATTTGATTACTTTGCTGCTGTTGATATACTGGTATGCAAAAGCTTTCATTTGGGAAAGTGTAGCCCTAGTTAAACTGACTAATCATACAGCAATATTACTGCTCTATTAAATGTTGTTTTGGACATTTATTCAAATACCATGATCTTTCATTTGTTGTTCCAGATGTAATGCTATTTATTTACCATGAACTAAAATATTTTATTAATCTATATCAGGAAGCCTGTAAGGAGCTCAGAAATAGCCGCTTATTCTTAAAACTACTAGAGGCAGTTCTTAAAACTGGTAACCGTATGAATGATGGTACCTTCCGTGGAGGAGCACAGGCATTTAAGCTCGACACTCTTTTGAAGCTATCAGATGTTAAAGGCACTGACGGGAAGACCACTCTTCTTCATTTTGTTGTTCAAGAGATTATCCGGTCTGAAGGTAGACGAGCTGTTCGAGTGGCCATTGAAAATAGGAGTAACTTGAACAACATTACCATCTCTAGTTCAAATTCTGATTATTTCACTGAAGATGTTCCTGAACAATCTGAAGATCATTACAGAACCCTTGGCCTTAAGGTTGTTTCATGTCTGAGCAGTGAACTTGAGAATGTCAAAAGAGCTGCTGGATTGGATGCTGAGGCCTTAACCAGTACAGTGGCAACTCTGGGTCTTAGGTTGGTGAAGACAAAGGAGTTCTTGAACACTGATATGAGAAGCTTGATGGAGGATAGTGGTTTCCATGATTCTCTAAAAGCTTTTGTTGAACACGCTGAGGGCGATATTTCATACTTGTTGGAGGATGAAAAACGAATAAGATTGTTGGTGAAGAACACCACTGATTATTTTCACGGAAGTGCTGGGAGAGATGAGGGGCTCCGACTGTTTGTAATTGTGCGGGATTTTATGGGTATGGTGGACAAGGCTTGCAAAGTGGTTGAAGAATCATCAAAAAAATTGATAAAAATGGCAAGAAGTAAGGACAATCCAGCATCACAACTAATTTCAGAACCACGACTACTGCTATTTCCAACAATTAAGGAACGACATATGGATGATTTTAGTTCAGATGATGAGGAATCTTGATTGTTAATATCAATAGGTACGATTTTTGTTTTACATAGACTTTATCATATGCTTGTCTTTATGATGATACATCAGTTGACAATCACTTCATAATTTTGATTGCCTTCTTAAATGGAAACTGATAGGAAACACTTGTAGATCTCAAGTATTTCCTATCAATCTCTGTAAAACAGCGAGAAATTCTTCCAAAATCCAATGAAAATCAGGAAAAACAGTAGATTTTATTGCAAGAAATCAACTAACGAAAGAAAAACAAACAAGATACAATTGATCCTCTATTCGAGAGGAGGATGGATCTCTCCCAAATCTCTAAACGCCTCTAGAGCCCACAAAGGAAATCTAAATCTAAGAGATCTCAAATTTCAGCTAAATTCAAGATGCCATAACCCTAAGAAAACAGTCTTTGATACATACAAATCAAAATGAAATCCCTAAACAGTCCCTACATTCAAATTTCCCTCCCAAATCCCTCAAAAATCCTTCCTAAAAAGGTCGGTCAGCTCCTGCGGTGCGTGCGGTTAAAATAGGAGGCGGAGGCGTTCCGTCTCATTCACGTCTGGGCCGGTCCCGCGTGGACCGGTCTAACAGAAACTGATGGAACAAATGGGAAGCCAATCAATCAAAGAATTAATTGGTACATGATTGCTGAAATGTACACACAAAATTGATTTTTATGGTTATAGACGTGCTTCCTATTGGGAATATATTTGATTTGGTTTGCAGAAGGGTAGCTTTTGACGACTGTTACTAAGAGCATCTCCAAAAATTCTATTTTTCACTTCAAAATGCAGTGAAAATAAAAAATGTCGTGATTCATCTCCAATCGAACTTCATTTTACGCGCTTCTGCGAAGGTAACCGTCTTTCTCCTCTTTCGCGCGTTTGTTCGGCAAATCTGATTGAGACAGAAAAATCGCGTTGGTGAACAATGCAATGCCAATATTGGCGTCGCACTGTTCACCCGCAATTAAATAGTGGAAGATTTGGCATTCGGCTGGAGCGATCGAACAATGCTATATGCATATTTGGCGTTGGAGATGCTCTAATTACATCTGTTTGGGTCTATTGATCCTTGATGATAGTTCAGTGACACTACATTTGTTGATCCTTTTTGATTGTTCAGTGACTGTTTGCAATCTTAAGATTTATTATAGTCATAATATTTGAGAAAATGAACACATTTGGTTATTTTGTTATCTTATTGCAACTCTTAAAGTTCATATCTGAACTTTCTTGGTTGTTTACTCAGGTGGCAACTCGGCAGATCCTTTCAGTTTACATTGTGAAGATTTTTTGGAAGCTGGCTCTGTTATTCTGAGCTTGTGGTGTACATAGGATACTGGGAATGCTTTGCAAGCTTCCAATGGATGGAGCTCAAATGTTTGGATGAATTTTTGCAGCCTCTATTTGTTGCTGATTCACAATTACATGTAGAATTAACTGCTGATATTGATTGTAGCCTGTTTATAAGAAGAAATTATTATGTGCAAATACTGGACGGTCTGGAGGCCAATTAGAACGTACCACGTCATCCGGTACACATCGTTACCCAGCACCAATACCGAGCAAAAAAGTGATGTGGTGCATTCTGATTGGCCTCCAGATGACGTCCGGTGTCTGCACAAAATAATTTTTCTTTCTTTTATAAGAGGCTGCAATTATCTTGCATTAGAAAGTTCAAGGGTTTGATTCTTTTTTTCTTATTTTGAAATTTTGTTAGGTATATAAGAATGATGTTAGCAGGCAATTTTTTACACCTGAAAATATGTATATATATTCTATTCCCAATTCATTGATATTTAGACTTTGTAAGCCATAAAAATCAGCCACATCATTTCTAGCAATCATTTTGCAAAACAAGCTGGATAATTGGATGAAAAATTATTTATATTAAAGAATGAACCCAAACACTAAGCCTTGAACTAGTTCAAGATTCTACCAAGGCTTCGTTAGGGACAATTTTTTTATTGCCGCGTAAAATAGTTTTCAAAAATAAAAATTAAAATTTTTTATTAAAAAGCTACTTGAAGAAGCAGTAAAAAAGCGGTCACAAATAAAGCTTAAATCAACATATGCATGTATATTTGTGATGTATGTAAATATCATTAGTGCCCTCTTATTAAAATGATTGGCTAATTAGATTAATGAATCCATAGAGTGATGAGTGTCTTGAGGCTTTTAGTATTCTTCTTGATGAGTGAAATTCATATAGTTTAGGAAATCTTGATGAACCAACAATAAATAAAATTTATATGACTAATGGATTAATTATGTCTAAGCAACTTACTATACATAAGACATGATTGATAATCTACTAACTATCTAAGTAACCTACTAAGAGCATCATAATGAGTAAAGGGAAATATTAAATACCTTAATGAGCAAAGGGAAAAACCCACAACTTGGATTAATTGAAATATACTAAATAATAAGAGCTAGCTAGCAATCAAATATACACATAATTATAAGGCCGTATCAAGCTACAATAGTCAACCAATATTATTGCACCTTAAATAATTATAATTAGATCATTATTAATCAAGATTTATTAAGCAAACACATAATTAAGAACTTAATTATATAATATTTCTAGATTTCCATTATCATAACCATTTTAGGGAAGGCTCGCAATAGCTCTACATGAATCAAGGAACGGGACATGGGGAAGAATAGGGTATTGACAAAAGTGCTTACTGAGTCCCCCACTAATGACTAACATATTACTAAACGCATGAGAGGCCCACGCAATTTATGAAACTACAATTTTACTAAATCAATAAACTCTCATGGGTTTATCGCCCGACCACCGACAATTGACTACTATTGCCCGACTAACTGTCATCACCCAATCAATCTTGTATGATTTTTATCTTCTAATTACCATCTCTTAACTATCGCTAACACTCTTCATTGTTTTCCAACATTTTCTTATATAACCACAAGAAGTCAAGCTTGTGTTCTATATTTGATAATCCTTTTGTTTTTGTATTGAGGGGAAGAATATGTTTTTGTAACCTCGCATACAAAATCAATTATTTCAAATTTGCGAAGTTTTTTCCCTTTATATTATGTGCATAATTTATGTATAAGATTAAGTCAATAAATTATCTCTTTTACCCCACTTTATATTTATACATATATCTTACATGTTGGCAAAATGAACTTCAAGCGGATAGCCCTTCACTTTGCGACCACAAATTAACTCATCGCACAAGTTGATGTGCAAATAGTAGGGACCATAACCTTCTTCATCCCAATTAACTTCCAACCTAATCTTAGTTTGAATAAGCCTGAAGTGTGAGAGAAGATCGGTGGATATGTAATTTATAATTATATTAAAATAAAATTATAATAGAATGGACTTGAAAATTATTAGATTTATAAAGATATTAATGTAATATAAGCTCTTATGCAGATCATTAATATAAATACAAATCTGATAATTTTCAAGCTTATCTTGATATAATTTGTACCGGAACATTTTGATAGGTTTTTTTTTTTTTTCAATCTACTTTGAATGACACTCAATAGCACTCAAGTCTTAACGTTATTTAAACCATTTTAATTACATTTAAATATACTAAAAAGTTATTAGATAGGAAATATAAGTTTGAAAAGAAAAATCAATTAAAGATCAAATACGAACAATTTCACAATTCCATCACAACGGTCAGGATGGCCGAGTGGTCTAAGGCGCCAGACTCAAGTTCTGGTCCTCGAGAGAGGGCGTGGGTTCAAATCCCACTTCTGACAATTTTTCTCATCTTTTTAAATTTCATTTTACCTTCTTTTTAACAATTTGACTTATAAGGTTACGAACACCAGAATTATCTATTTATTAAAAAAAAAAATAATTTGTAAATAAAATAAAGAATTTATGTTGAAATTTTTTATCAGCAAACATGGCAGATAAATTTTTTTAATCTAATGTAGTTATATTTGGTCAATAATCTTTGGATAGCTTTGAAATCATTCCCATAATAAGAAATATAGAAAATCTAGATGTTAGAATTAATTTCTTATATTTTATTGAACTGATTTTAAGTTAGAATAAATTTTAATTATTTCATAAAATTTTTTAATGATATATTTTAAGACTATATTTATTGATTATTTCATCATATTAAAAAAATTGTTCCAAGCAAAATCTTAATCATTCGAGATTCATAAAATTTGTTTTGCTCAATCGCTTGTTAAATTGAGGATAAATTTTACCTAAACCCTAAAAGTATCAAACACCCTTATGTTTATAATAAATTTGATAGAAAAGCATCAATTTTTTTAAATTAATGTAGAATATTTAGATCAATCTTTCGTAGTTATATTCTTCGTAAAACATCTCAATTTTACAACAAACAATTTTCCTAAATTAATAAAAATATTTAGCAATAATGTTTTGCTATTTTAACTAATTGTGCTTATTGCTACAAATTTGTTTTGTTTGTGAGCAAAATTAAAATTTTAACTTCTAAATAAGAGATTTATTTTCATAAATTATTCACATTTTATTGTGAATAGAAAAACCATAGGCAACCTCTAAATAAGCCATTAAATTAATATGTGCACTTTATATGAATTTTTATAAATCCAATTCTTGTAGAAATTATAATAATAATTTATGATTTTGATTAATCAAATGGTAATTTTATATTAACAACTAAAAATATATTTATTCTAAAAAACTACTAACTGTTAGATGCTAGAATATTTGTGATATGAAGGATTTGTCATCCTAGCATTTTAAGAAACAATAGCCCAAACTTAAAAGAAAATCATATTTTTAAGAATTTTTTTTTTCACTCACAAATTAGGTGCTGATTTCTTGAGGAAGCATATCAAACCTACTTTTATTGTATATTTTGTAAAAAACAAGAAGGGAGAAGATCTACAATATGATGTGGCATTTCTGAGTCGTATATATAAAAATAGATTTGATACGCTTCCTCAAGAAATCGACACCTAATTTGTGAAGGAAAAAAGAAAAAAAGTTTCTTAAAAATAGGGTTTTCTTATAAACATCGCAATTAGAGATGATGGGATTGAAGAAGTGCAACCTAAGGCGGGTCCTAGTGGCAATCTATAAGATCCAACTCAAATATATCGACAATTGAATGCCCGATTTGCCTTGTTGAGTTCATCCAAGGAGAGAAGGTCCTGTCAGTATCGAGCTGTAACCATATATTCCATGTTCGATTCATCGACATATGGCTTTCCTAGCGCTCATCCTGCCTGACCTGCCTCCATTCACTCCTCAATAGATCTGTGCCATTGTTTGCATCGATGTTTGGGAACTACCGCAGGAGATGGACGACAACCTTTTTAATAGTGTCTTTTAAAAATAGTAATAGCATTATTTAATGGATTCAAAAATAAAACAATGTTTTAAAACAAATCTAAATTCCTAGATATTTTCCCCAACCTTTTGGAATAATGAAGGATTAATTTTTTTTGGGGGTGCAGATTTCTCTTAAAGAAAATTCCTTATAATTAATTACATCTAAGAGAGATGCTTGCATGAAAAAAAAAAAAATCAAAAATTTAAAAAAAAAATTCTATTTTTATAGTCAAATATGACATTCAGAATAGCATAGTATGTTGAAAAGATAGAAATAATATTTACAATGAATTTTTTAAAACAAAAAACATACATTTTTAGATATTCTTCCCTACCTCACATCACTACAGAAAAATCATTCTTTTTTTAATGATTTTTTTAATATAAATAAAATAGCCCGAAAGCCCAACCATTTTCTTCCTCATTTTTTCTCATTTCTTTGATTGTTACATTGACTTTACATGGAAAGCACTGCCACATTCAATCTCTCAATGTGCTCCTTAACAAGTTACACAAAAGTAGAAGAAGAAAATACATACTGATGAATAGCTTGTGTTAAGATAACTAATAGACTAAGTTGAGCTACGTATATTTATATGGCCTTTACATTCTACGGATTTCGCCCTAATCCTCAACTACAATTTCACATAATGGAAATATATCATTAATTCCAAATTCAAGAACTAAAAGGAAATTCCTCGAGAAAATAAAAAGGAAAAAAGGGAAACCCTAGCCAAAGAGGTCAACAGCTAGATGCCAACAAAATAAATCTTACTAAATATTAACCATTGTTGTCAGATCGAAATTGGTAAGGAATTCATCGAGAAAAATAACATGGAGGGTGGTGTGAAGCAGCTCATCTTGGTCTATTTGTTGAGAGTTTTGACTGCCAACCAATAGATTTTGGATTTGAGTCTTTAATCAAAACCAACGAGCTCACGCTACTCACGAGTTCATTTAATTTAATTAAGAGTTTCTTCGGGATAGTTTTCATAGTGCATTCTAAAGCAGCTTCTTAGTAAAAAAAACGTCTTAAAAGCAGTGAAAAAATAATGGACAAAACTATTCCAAACAAAGTCTAATTTAGATGAGGTAAATATTTAAGATAAATTGGATGATAAATGACATTAAACAAGTTAAATATAAATATATAGGTAAACATTGAATTGCTATGATCAAATAAAATTTTATTTGTAATTGTGTTTGGCTCAAATACAAACTACTTTTCTTTAGGAGTGTCAATATTTGACCCGCCCTGAAAATTTTGGGTTCGGGTTAACCTGTTTGAAAAATAGGACTGATTCGGGTTACAAATTCTGACCCGATTGAAAATTTGGGTTGGGTTTGAGTCAACCCGAAAACCAAAAATCAAACTGAATGTCTTGGGTTATGTTTGCCCCACACTCGTGGCCTAGTGCTTGCCCCTACACCCATGTTTGCACCCGCGCTTGCGCTCACACCTGCGCTTGCACCTACAATCGCTCCCTAGCTCTCGCGCTTTTGCTACTA